GTTGCGTTTATTTACATCAAACAAGTCAGTGGCAATCTTATTGTTAGAATCTTTTACATCTGTAAGAATCTGAAATTCTTTATTTTTAAATAATTTAATCCCTTTCTGCTCTATTACTCTTAACTCATTTCGTTTACACAGACATTAAACATACACATATATAGAATTTATGTATTTCCTTTAGGCTATGGTCGCGGTCGTAATGAATCCGATAAACAGTTTAATACCCCTGGCAATGGAAATGTATAAAAAGGCTGGTGTTTACGAGCACAATCGCCTTTTTGGTGTAATTAGCCTTGACTGTCTTAGAGCAAATACTTTCGCTGCTCAAATTATAGGTGTCGAGCCAGAATGCATGATAGTGCCAATAATTGGTGGGAGTTGTTCGAAAACGTGTATTCCTCTTTTCTCCCAAGCAAAGCCCTGTAACAAACTGACCCCGGTTAATAGCTTATCATAAAACTCCCCGATAAAGATTTTTTCCTGACACTTGAGATAATTGACTCGGCGAATTTATTAATTGATTAGACAGAAGCTCGGAGATTAACACAAGTCGTAAGGATGTCTAATGAAGAAATGGCAAATGCAAGTAAAAATAAAGAGAGAACGTTTTTCGCTACAGCTTTTGCAGCTGCTCGATTTGGTATATCCCTCTGTAAAGGTATTCCACACACCGAATGCGCAACGTTCCCATATTGATAGTACATCCAGATTCTCATTTTATTATTGGTTCATACAGCTTTGCGACATCAGAGCAATGTTGTGGAATGCGCTTATGTTAGATCCTGCGTGATACCAGAGATAACATATTTCGCAGCTCCTTTGGAATTAGGTCCGAATGGAATTCAGAGATACTTAGGTATTCCACCCTTAAACGACTTCGAATGTGATCTTCTTAAAGCGGCTATACCTTCTTTGAAAAAGGATATTACACTTGGAGAGGTAATGAGATAGCTCTGCGGTTTGATCAATAAAATTTCTACGGTTTGTGCTAGGGCACGAGTTCTAATGGAATCTAATAAAATCTAGTGATAACATCAGCGTGTAAAAAATAATATTATTATCATTAATATTAAAAGTCATAATTATTCGGGATGTGCGCATTTGAATGCGACCAATACAAATACTTTTACTTTGGAATTATTAGAAATTAGAACTTGCGTTATTGGCATCAATCGGGAAACTTTATTTATTGGAGCATACGCATTTCTAAAAATTCGTGGAAACGAGATGATATTCCTAATCCTTCATAGGCTCTTGCTCTTGGAGAGGAGACTGTTTCTTCTGAGATATGCCCGCAGCATACTAACGAATGTGATCGTGAAAATCCACCCCGTACCTCTTCATCGTAATGTTTTTCGAATAGCCTTTCTAATTTCATTTGATGTCAGATTTTTATGAGAAAAAAAAAATGCTGTCTTAATAATATCGTTATCATATCGTTTCACATGGCGAGACCCATTGCTGCCTTTGGTCGGCAAGACTGAAAAAAATTGAAACAATGGCTCGTAAAGCAAGGGAGACCGTGAAGCATCGTGTCGAAGCGAAACGCGGTACTCGAGATCAAGCCGCGATAAACCTGTAAAATAGTTAATGGCGATCGTAATAGTGGCAGCGATCCGTTCTGTATACCCATTGCTTTGCGGGTAAGTTAAACGTCTGCATGGGTATCGGTCACATTTATTTTCGCGTAAATCGATGAATGTCGCGCATAAACGTTCGAGCCAAGTTTCCGAACGAACCGCGATGCTAACTTCAAAACCAACGCGATAAAGATACTCCTAAACACTTGGAAGTATGACTACAAATCGTTTCGTGTTTCTAGATACTGGATACTGGAAGAGAAAATAGTAGTACACTATCTTTGCCTTTAGACGATATTTTTTAAGTGGTGTGACAAATTGGTCTAATCGACTTAATTAAATTATCATTCACTTTTCCTTTCGTCTTCTCTAAAAATGTTGGAACGAACTTTCCAACTGAGATTCTGTTAACTCGTTCAATTATTTATTAAATGTCCTGCCA